CCGCGTCTAGATTGGCACGGACGCTTTTCCGCAAAAAGTGCTTTTGCGGAAAAGCGTCTGTGCCAATCTAGACGCTCTTTTCCGCAAATGCTTTTAAGAGAAAACTTTTCCGTTAAAAGCAATTGCAGAAAATCATGCCAGTCTAGACGTTGCCCCTGTGTTTAGGGGCAACTCTTTGACTCTGTTATTCATAGTGGATTTAAACAGATATCCAACTGAAGGATAACGAGTAGTCCTGTGGCACCTTAGGGTACATCTACATAGCAACACTATTTTGAAATAACTAGCGTTATTTCGAAATAACCATCTGCAGGCAGTTATTTTGAAATCCTGTCAAGCTGGAGGACTTCTTACTCCAACTCCTGTAACCATCAGGCTATGTCTAGACTTCAAGCCTCTTTGAAAAGAGGCTTTTTCAAAAGTATCTTTCGAAAAAGGGCATCTAGACTACAACCAGTACTTTCGAAAAAGCAAGTTGCTTTTTCGAAAGAGAGCACCCAGGCAATCTGGATTCTCTCTTTCAAAAAAGCACAGTTTGCATTACATAGCACCTTTTTTCGAAAGAGCACTTTCGAAAAAAGGCGTTACTCCTCGTAAAACAAGGTTTTCCGCGGTCAAAAAAACTGCCGCGTTCTTTCGATTTACTTTCGAAAGAACGATGCTGCAGTCTAGACGCAGGTAAAGATTTTTCGAAAAAAGGCCACTTTTTTCAAAAAATCCCTGTAGTCTACACATACCCTTGTTGTACAAGGAGTAAAGGAAGTTGGAAGACGAGTGCTCTATTTCGAAATAAGCCACACCATTGACGTAGCTCAATTTGCATAGCTTATTTTGAGTGAAGCCCTGCTGTGAAGATGCATTCTTAGAGACGAACAAAAATAGCAGTCCTACGAACAAAAAAGATATCGAGTGTCGTGAGCTTTCCTGGGCACAACCCACTTCCTCAGATGAGCTTGAGGTTAGAGTCAGAGCTAGCTCCTCTGAGGAAGTGGATTGTGCCCATAAAAGCTCACGACACTCGATATCGTTTTTGTTCGTAGGACTGCTGGTCGTTTTTAAAGCTGCAGACAAACACAGCAACAACTGAAGGATCTGAGACAATCTCAATCCAAGACTATTGGCTCTCAGGGGCCCATAGCCTGGGATCGTGGAGACGATCTAGGAGACAAAATAAAACTATTGATTGTTCCTTAGGTCTATTTTCTTCCTGGGCTTCCGGAGAGGGGGGGCAGAGAACTCAAGCAGCTTGGAGAAAGCACCGGACCACTTCACATTTTGGGGACACTGTCAACAACAGGTTGCGGCGCTGTTGCGTTGCCAAGCGGAGTATTTCCACAATGTTCCTTTAGCAAAATGCAACTCTGCTAAACTCCACAGTCTCCTCTGCCCAGTGTGACAGAACCGTGTTTTAACTGAGGCAGAGGGCTACTGTGCTGAATTTGGGATCCCCGCCAGAGCCGCCGGGCTGGGGGAGACTAGGACTTTTGCTGTTGTGGAGAACGTGCAACCCGTCGTGTCTTACAAACGTTTCTATGCAGTCACTAACCAGATTCCAGACAGTGCCAGGAAACATATCCCAGTTGGATGCGGAGGAGGCAGACTTGTTTTTGGACGTGTGTGAGCATGACTCAGTGTGTCGCTTGGCCTGGGCCTGTGTGGAGCTGTCTCTGCTCTGGGAGTTGGCAGCTTTTGCTGTGGTTGCCTAGGACAGACCAGATGCCATACTTCCGTCTGCCAAGGCCCAAATGTGAGACCCTCATCAGGAGTGCAAATAGTAGCACAGGAAGTGGAAAGTCTCCTCGGGAGAGAGCCACTTCCTTCCAGGAGCAAACACAAATATTTTCTGTAAGCTCAGTACGAACGATTTCTGGAGCACACAGCGGATAGGAACAGCGGGACGCTGCTTTCAGAGTCCAGGGTGAATCTTCCTCCCCTCAGAAGAAATCCTGTGCCCCTGGGGCTAGGGATGCTAAATGGCATTTAATCAGCTAATTGAAGAGTCGATTAGCTGATTGGGGGGGGGGACTGCAGAGCTGCAGGGGGGTTAGCTATCTGGAGCTGACCCTGCTGCGGTTCTGCCTTCTAAATGCATTAAGAACCACTAGACTCTTAACACGTTTAAAAGGCTGAAGAGCAGGAGGGGGACCAGACATGAGCCGGGAATCAGCTGATTCCCGACTTGTGCCCGGTCCCTCACTACACCTCTGCCTCCCCTACTCCCTTGCGGAGGGGGGCCGGGGGGGGG